TTATTATTTTTGTTTTTACGAGATGAGCAAATCGTATATATATATCAATAAAAGGTAAAAAAAAAATTCAAAAAATTTGCATATAGAAAATTATTTATCTCCTAATTAATATTTTCTTCATTTAAAATCCCTATCTTCTTCTTTCATCCATTAAACTTTCTAAAGGTTGGAACCGGATTTGATAAATCCAGATTATCCAGTTCGAATTAAATCTGGATTTCCGGTGATTTTTGATGACTGCTTCAAAATTAAAAGCAGAAACTAAATTAATCTCTTTTTTTTTTTTTTTTTTATAAAAAACCGTAGTTGAGTTAATCAAAAAATTTTCTTTTAAATTAAGATTTGATGTAAAAAGGAACAAGTTGTTTTCTTTCATAGAAATAATTTGAAATGAGTTAAAAACAACTAACATTGATGTTTGATAGTATTAACATTTAAATATTTAGCGCCGAGATCGTATTATCATGCAGCCATACCAGGTATATATACTGTATATATAATTTATTTAAGCAATCTACATTTTTTTTATGTGCGTCGATATGATAATAAAAAAATAATTTGTTGGTTTGAAATATAAGTTGGAATCGGATTCGATATTCGAAGTAAATCCGGATATTAAAAATAAACTCGGTTAAAATCTAAACTTTATCATCTTCTTAATAAGGTAATTCTTCTAATCTTTCAACAAGTTCCTGTGCTTACAAATTTAAAACCTCGTTTTTATATTCTACATTGCGATACAATAAACCTGTTAAAACACGTCGAATTTCGCAAAGTTATTATCGAAACTGTCGAAACTTTCGAGACCCATAAAACCCCGTCGAAACATTCGAGACCCATAGAAACCCATCGAAACTGTCGAAATAATTTCTGAAAAGTTTCGACTTTTGCCAAAATGGGGTTTAGGGTTTTGCCCCGCAACTATAACCACATTTCACCTGAAATATATATTTTTAATAATCCATTTATTTGAGTATTGAAATAATTTTATAAATTTAATTGAACAATTGTAATTATATAATAATAATTGCCATACATAACATACTGTACGATTACTACGTAATCATAATCTCTCGTTATTAAAAAAATATCGTATATGTTAATAATATATGCAATATGTTATAAAAAACCACTCAAGAACCGGACTTATGAATCGGTTCAGAATGAAATAGAATAAATATAGGATCTGACCGATCCAACCTACTTCTCTTTCACTATTTTCATCTATAAGATTAAATTTAAATAATATAAACAAAATTAAAAAAAAAAATATCTTAAAAATATGCTTTGCAGATATTCCGCTCCGTTCTTGCAGATAACTTTGGGTATAAATAAATAATTATATAAATATTAAATATAAAATATCGTGATTGTTAAAATAGATATTGTTGTCTTTACGTTTATAAAAAAAGGAATGTACTATTATTAGTTAAGTATTACTTAAAATTTTTTAATAAATTAAATAAATCAAATGTTGCCTCACTTCAGAAATCCGTTTATTAAATCAAAACAATACGAAATACGAACGCTAATTAAAACTATACTAAAAAAAAAGAAATAATCCAATCGATTCCCAAGTAAACCCATTATTTATATAATTAATTTTTGGTAAAGACTAATTGGCCAGAGGGCAATATGACTAGAGGATGGTTTGACATGTGCATAATTTGTCCAGGCTAGAAGACATTTTTGTCACGGCCGGAGAACAAATTGCAACTGAAATAATAAAAAATAATTGCTAAACTATAAATTTCTGATCAAATCTCAATTTAGATCACAATTTATTTTTCTTTTTTTTTGTATATAAAATTAGGTTTTAATTTCAAATGAGTCGTGACTCAGTCGAAGGATGAGTCGACTGAAGAGTTTCAACGAATTATTTAAATGATAAATATTTCTTTAAATTTGTAATTAATATTTTGTGTAACAAGATTAATACAACATTTATTTTAATTGCATATAATTTATCTTTCTAATTATAACATTTTGCTTAACCTAGAAGGTTTATTATTTTGCGCTGATTAAACTAACCAACAAATTCAATTTGGTTAGTTGAGATGTTCTTAATGCTTTAATGCTTATAGAATTTAAAATTTTTTTTCTGATATATTATTTAAACCTAAATCTGGTTATATCGAGAATAAAGATTAAAAAATTGTTTATTTTTTTTTTTTTTCTTATTAATATCAATAACATAAAAATATGTAACTGTAAAGTTTTTAAACTATTAGCAGAAGTATATTAAATGCACAGATTTTGGGTACTGCACAAACCTGTGCAGAAAGGTTAGCAATATATGTATTGTACAGTTTTCTTTTTTGAATGTATGTATGGTATGTATGCTATAAAAACTATATATGTATTATTTTTTTCATAGCAAATAGTACATTCCTAATACTATACATATATGAAAAAAAACCATACTATACATACAATGCTAACCGATATTAAATATTTATATCATATTAAAATTTCAAAAAAAGCAACGGCGGCAATTTCTCATCATTTGATTAACTTTTATCATAATAATGCTCAAATTGTATAAAATTTTCTCTCGAGCGTCATGAAAAGAACAATGAATAGGTTACACGAATTTTAAAAAGTTAGTTCAATTTTTTTTTTTTGATCATTTATTCAATATTAGGACAGACAAACTCGATGCTTCAATTCTCCTTACTGCCGGATCACTTTTTTTAAAAAATGTTTAACTTATAAAACAAATATGCGAAGCCGCATAAAAGAAATAAAGTATTATTTAATAATATTTATAAAGATTAATTCTAACGTTCTTGATAAGTTTTATTACCACACTTATCTTAAAATATTTATATTTAGTGCTTAAATAAATAATTCAATTTATTATTAACTCGAAGACATTTCGGTCGTATAATTCTGACTTGGCTCAAGTCGTAATATTTTACAAAATAATTTAGTATAATTGATATATCTTATTCTAGATAAGTTTTAGTTAATACTTTTTGCGTATATGTTAGTTAACTATATTTATTTCGTTTAAAATTCTAAAGTCTGACAACAAAAAAATATAACATCAAGTTTATTTGAAAGTTAGACATGAAAAGCTTCTTCATTAGGAGAAATAGAAAGTAACCCAAAAATACTAAAAATGTTAATAAATCTTGAAAGTAAAGAACATTTATTATCTAAATACAAGATTGAATAATAATTTTAAAAATTAATTCATAATAACTACTTTATTTCAACATATGCAATTTAAATTTTTATTTAAAGAATATATTTAGTAGTTTAACTTAATTAATTTTTTTATTAAAATAATATTTAGTTAAATTTACTAAAAAATTGATTTATAAGATTTAATTTATATTAAATTATTTTTATTGATTTATTTATATTTAATTATACTTAAAATTGAAATTTAACGTTTAGCTATAAACTTTTCTTCAAGTAAACTTGTTAATTTTAGTAAATGGAACAAAATAAATAATATAAAAATAATAGATAATTGTATAGTGATTTATATCATTTCACTTCGACGGTGTTTAATTTTAAAGGAAATAACTTAAATGCAACGTATTCTGTAATACAGCAAAAGAAAAATAGAACAAAAAAAAAAATTGTTTTATTATATTAATATCATCATCATCGTCATATTTTATCTTATAATTTGTTTACAAATAATGTAAAGTTTTGAAATATTAGGGGGTCATTGGTTCCAGAATTTAAAATTTTTATTCGAGAAACACACATGTAAAAATAGAAAAAGATTATTCTTTCAAAAAACTATTCTTATTATAGCAGTCACTGGTCATTTCCAAATCACTAATTAAAAATTTGTACTGTATGAACTTTCAAATAACACTAATTTTATTAAAATACATCACTTCCTTAAATATTTCGATATGTAAGGCATTTCTATGATTTTTTGAACTTTAAACTGAGATCCTTCTGCCAATACTGGTTCTTTTTTAAAGTTATTTACGTGAGAAGTTAAACATCATTAATATAGATATATTATTGTTAAATTTGTTTTGAAGTTTATATGTACGTTGTTGAGAAAGTGCCAAAAAGATGATTTTTCTTTATTATAAGCGTCAAATTTAAATAAATATTAATATAGTTTACAAAACATTGTAACCTTTTTTTTTACATAATTTACATAAAAAATACAAATAATTTTATTTTTAAAGAAAAATTTTTAGTTTACATGTTCAAATAATATTTACATGTTCAATGACTTTATCCCTTTTTTATTTTCTCTCAACATCCAATATTCATTTACAAAACATTCACCAACCTCTAAAAATTAATATTATTTAATTTTATTTTATTTAAAAACTAAAAATCTTGAATAAAAATATATTTCTAAAGACCAAAACTTGTTTGTGCAGTTTGCGTAGTTTCCGATTTACTTGAAAGGTTATAATATTTTAACAAAAAAGTGACCAACTTTACAGAGAGAACTTTCTAACTTCTCATTAATAAACAGCAGAAAAATTTGTCTCAGAACGTTCGTCTTAACCAGAAACTTAAAAAAAAAAAAAAAAATTGTATAAAATTTATTGGTGGAAAATAAGGATTACATAGTAAAAAAAGTGATTGACGAGCTTGCATATTTAATTAGTAAATCCATCAGCTGAACGAATAAATTCAGTACCGAAATGACCGCAAAAATATGATTGATGTCGTACAAACATTATTCTTTTGCTAAAAAAAAAACTCTCGCTTTAATTTTCGGGTAGATTTATGCATCACGTTTAATTATCTTAATGAGTTGGTTTCTTCTACGAAGAAATGACCGTTTCACCAATTCTTCGATATAAATTTCATTGGCATCAATTTTTTTTATAAATATCCCTCATAAAAAAAAAGCAAAAACAAACAAAATCGCGTTTAATAAAGAATCAAAAGATTACATTTTAACAACTTTGACAAATAATTTTAACAATTCTAATTGATAAATAATTTAACACTTTAAAAATTTTAAACAAAATTTTAACACATTTGAATTAACTTATTAAGATATGCAACACGCAAAAATTCCAAAAGTTATTATTATAGGTACAGGTCCAGGAGGACTTGCTCTTTATCATGCATTGATAAAGAACAAAGATAAAAAAGAATTCGATGTAAAAATCTTCGAACGGGATTCCAGTCCAAGAGGTATAAAAGATTTCTTGTAGTCATAATTGATCCTATTTCTTTTTTAAACGTGACGTTAAATAACTCGTAAACTATTATAGAACGATGGCAAGGATATCATATAGCGTTGAACTGTGCCGGAACTCGATCGCTTTTGAATTGTGTACCATTTTCGATCAATTCAAACCTTCATAAAGCGATGCCAAACCCACTTCCTGACGTAGAATTCCATGGAGTCTCGCTTTTCGATAATAAAGGAAGTCTTTTATTAAATCCACCATCTAAACAATATAAAGACTTTAACGAACTTGTAAAATTTCCTCATGAGTATTCACTGATCGTTACTTATCGTGATAGACTTAGAGATGTATTATTAGAAAGTGTACCGGTACACTGGGGCAAAAAATGCATTAGATACGAAGAAACCAAAGATGGTGTTTGGGTAATGTTTGATGATGGTTCGCAAGAATTTTGTGATTCTTGGTTGGCGCAGATGGAATTAATTCTCCAGGTAAGCTTAAATTCCTCCCCAAAAATTCCCTTGTATAAAACAAAATAAATCAATAATTTATATATATATATTTTTTTTCTTACGTTTCTTCTAGTTCGAAAACAGAGACTACCCGAATTACAAATTTTCGATTTTGGAATAACAAATGTCGTAGCAAATATTGCTGTACCTAAACATCTTATGGACAGATTCATAAAGTTACAAGGAAATAGTTTATTACAAAAGTCTCTTGGATTATATGGTGATTCGTCAATGGTTATTTTTCGTCTAATTCCAATCGAGCAAGAGCCAGGTTACGAGAATAAAAGCAATTCTAATGAACCTCATTACAGAGTAACCTTGAATTATTCGTATCCCACAAAATTAGACGACGTTGAATCCGATAAAATCAAAGTTGATGATAATGATTCTGCATCAGTCATTGAACATGTCAAGCAGATGATTCGAAATTTTGGAACAGAATGCGAATTTGATGATATTATATTAGAATTATGGGACTTGGTTCCTAAATCAACTCCAAATGATCCAGAAAAGTTTCAATTTAAAACTTATAATCCGACTCGACGAAGACAATATCAAGATATTAATCCATCATCTATTCAAACTTGGACAAGTAGTCGAGTAACATTATTAGGAGATGCTGTTCATGCTATGAACCCTGTACTTGGATTAGGAACAAACAATGCTTTCCAAGATGCCGATCTACTCTCCCAAGCATTAATTAATTATTCATCAGAAGAACCTATTTCCTGCATTCAAGAATATGAAAATGAAATGCGAAAAAGATCAACCGTCGACGTGTTAAAATCTAGATCTGCGGCATTGAAAATGTCCGCTCCTGTTGGCCTTCTTAGAACCTTTATTAGAAATTGTAGTTTAAAGTTTACAAACTTCATTTTGAACTTTTCAAGTATTTTTAGAAAGTATATTGAATAATTTTATTTTGAATATATTTCTTTCATTTTATTTTATCATTTTTCAATATTATAGAAATTTATTATAGATTTTTATGTCAGGTTTTTTTTTTTTACGCATAATTAGTTGTAAATATCATTTGAACATTTTGAGCATTTTTTTTTTATAACCTATTTATTTGTCATATTTAAATATTAAGTAATAAAGAGTGTCAAAAAAAAAAGGAATAAATTAATAATATATTTAAGTTAGTTTTTAATTCATACGTTTTTTACATTATATATACATTGTAAAAAAAAAAAAAAAAAAAAAAAAAAAATTTTATACCATTTTTTAACGAGCGTAAATATTGAACAAATTTATCTACGACTTAAAAATAAAAAAAAATAAAAAAAATAAATAAAATATAATTAATTTTTTTTTTCTGGTTATCGATCGCATTTTATTTTTATTTTATTTTATTTTTTAAAAAAAATAAAACTAGACGGGATTTTATTAATAAAAATTATTCTTAAAACTAAATTAAATTATTGAGGAAAAAATATATATTTTTTTTATGGTCAATTAGCCCTCACCAAAAAACGATCGAAACGATCGAAATCTTTTCGAAATTCGAATGTAATTTCTTTTATAAATCGTTTTATAGATGTTTTTATCAAATAAATATTTAATAATGCTTTTGCGAGGAAATAATTATTAGAATTTTATACGGCCTTTTCAAAATTGCATAAAAAAAATTTAAAGATTTATTGAAAATTTTTCTTAGGGATCGTTTGCTATTTACGAGACATTGAATCATTTGATCCGTGCCTATATATAATAGTATTTGATCGTGATAAGAGATGTCATTAAAGAAATTTTTAGCAAACTTCAATTTTTCGACCACCAATTCAATCTGCCGTATATATTTCAGAGTATCCACCTTTGGTTAAATATTTTATATTTTGTAAATTATTGTTTGGGATCCATTCAATGACGCTTGATTGATAATTTGCTTTCGTTTGACATCTCTGTATTAAACCATCTATTTCATCATTTTCGGACGTCCAATTTGACAAATCTTTTAAATAATTTCGAATACAATGATTGCAATCTGAATGATATACATTTGACAACTTTCACAAACTTTAGATACCATTTCCATTGCGAAATTCATGCTCTTTGCCTTTATAGAGAACATATTTAATATCTTACGAATAAAAGCCATAATTAGAAAATTAAAAAAAGTTTTAAACGGTATTTAAACTCTATTCTAAATAGATCATGATCCGCGTATATTTTTTCTATTTTTATTTTGTGAACAATACAACTGATTAAGCAAGGAATCAAAATGCCTTTTTAATCCAGCTGGGCTAATTTCAAGTCCCAACCATACTTAATCGGACTAATGCATTATTAACGTAATGAACATGAACCGTATATTAATCAATTGGGCGGGGCGAAACGAGTTGAAGAGTCATTCGATACATGTTTCCAGTAGACAATATTTTTGTTTTAATTTGGAAAAGTTTGAAAGCGGATGAAACTGGTATTAATATAAAAAAATTTTTTTGCCCAAAACCCTTTGTATTTATTTTTTACATGAATGGTTTCAGGTATTTATTAATAACGAATGTAAAAAAATCATTTTTAATAAGTTATGGTATAAAGACGAACAAAATACGATAATCAGATAATAATGAAGAGGTTTATAAAACATTATATAAAAATATAATTAAAAATGAATATTCAAAATGCGGTTAAGGGAAGGTATTAATAGATAAAATAAATATTATTGGCAATAGTATGGTAAATATATAAGCGGAAATTTTTTTCCCAAATAATTGAGAATTTAAAAAGATATCGATGTTCGTTTTTTTATATAATATAATTTTATTTTAGACCGGCCTCTTACTTTAAAAATGTTGAAGCTGAGGTAGAACCGCAAAAGAGTTTCCGTCCTATTAACCGATAATGGTAACAAATTCAGTCGCGATGTCTCTTAACTTTCTAATCTAACAATTTCATATAAGATATAAAGTTTATAAAACAAATTACGAATCTCTGGAGTCTAGTATGATTTTTATAATTTCGGTTATAAGGACGGACCATATTAAGAATATTGAAAACCTGAAATCCTTGAATCTCGAAAATTTTATCCTCTTTGAATAGAGAAGATTCTTAATATCAAATTTCCGGTTAAATTCTATACCAAATGTGTATATTAAGCTGCTCATTTTTCAATTAACGGTCAATGATAGTTACTTTTATTTATTTTTTTCTCTTTTGGTATTCTGATCCGACTATAGGCTAGGCTAATTCGGTCAATGATAGTTACGGGATGTTGCTTACATTACGGTTGAAACTACGGTGACAACGAATGTTGCTCACCTTACGGTCGGATCATACTTTCTGTAATCCGTATCGAATTACAGTCATGCCTTGTTAATATTATCGTGTTAAGGGTCATCGTGAAACTTTTCGTGAAATCAAGCGGCGTATTGAAATAAAATCGAATTGAACAAAAAAATACAGGATCAGCTACAGGCTATGAAGTTGTAATTCTTCTCGTTAATTCTAGTTTTATATTAGTAATAATTAACTGCATTTCTTTTTTATTGTTTGCAGGCTGAAGCTACTACTAGTTCGTTAATAAACATAACAACAAGAAACACTTTGTGACAAGAATTGGAAACGTTTAGAGTTTGAAGCCGGTTTGTGTAATTCGGTTTAAATCGGTTGCAACAACATAAATCGGTTGTGGTTTTTTGATTCGAAACGATTTTAATAAAATCGGTTGATTGCAAAAGTTAGATTTTAACCACCAATCGTAGCAATGACGTTATAAGTTAACTTTTTTAAATTAACACTATATACATACAGTTCATGCCATATTGTTGTTTGGAGTCAGGTGATTCCACTTTATATAGTGTTAACTATGGCCATTCCCAAAAAGGAAGGACGGTTCCGTTCAAAAGTTCCGTCCGGTTCTTGGTCTAAGAGAGGGAACAGATGTTCAAAAATTTAGATAAAATTCATTTATAGTAGATCCAGATGTAATTAAAAAATATTCTTGTTCAAAACAAAAAGCATCACAACCACTTTCAATTTAATAAAACATCATAATCTTTACATCTACAATATATATATTGATATTTATAAAAATTAAATAAAATATATGTGTTACTTTCAAATATTAAGGCCAGCCCATGGCCGGCCATGAATGACTATGAATCTAATTTATTTAAAAAAAATGTTTGATACAAAATTGACACAATACGAAAAGCTTTCAAAAAGCTTTTATTGAAATGTCCTCCGAGTAAATCTAAATTTAAAAATCATCAAGCACTGAATCTTTTCTACCATTTAAAACCAACCAATTTAATATCAATAGTTCTTCATATAACTGATTCGACCTTCCGGAGTGTAAATACAATTAAACTTCAACCTTAGAAATAATTAATTCAACATATGGTTCAGGTCTACTAAAAATGCCAACCCTTTTCTTAACCTCAAATCCTTCAACGGGTCGAAAAGTGAAATTTCTAACCAGCATACCTAATAATATTTTAAACTCACTTAAAGCTATTTTGTTACCAATACAAGATCTAATACCAGTACTGAAAGGCAAATATTTGTAATTTGTTACATCATTAATTAATGAAGGATTTAACCATCTTTTGGGATCAAAATTATCCGCAGTTGGTCCCCAAATTGAAGGTAATCTCTGAAGCGCTGCAATTGGGATATCAATTGTAGAACCCTATTTATTAAAAGATTGTTTTTTAATAACTTTAGAAAGTACTTTCTTAACCTATTATAAAGAAAATAAATATTAACATACTTTTGGAATAAAATGCTCGTTAAACATCATATCTTTGATATTAGAACGTTGAAGAAGCGAAACTAAAATAAAACATCATCGTTAATAAAAGCTTCTATGTGAAAATTTGCAATTTGTTAAAAATTTTTACCTGCAGGATATAATCTTAACGTTTCTTTAACTACGCATTTAAGGTATTCCAAAGAATTAATTTCGTCAAAGTTGGGATTAAATTTTGATTTATCAGGAAAAGCTACAACCAACTCTTCACGTAATTTATCCTGCACATCTGGATGTTTTGCAAGTAGATGTAAAGCCCAAGCTATTGAATTACTTGTGGTTTCACGTCCTCCTAATAAAAACGTCTTAATCTAAATATCAAAAAATAAATGAAAATTTTGATTAATTACGACACAAATTTTTTTTTTTTTACGAAAAGTTTTTTAGTCACCTGATGTTTAAGTTCTACATCGGTCATTTTTTCTTCAACAGGAAAGTTTTGTTAACTCTTATTAATATAGACAATAAATCATTTCCCATCCAATTTGTTATTTCTGTCATCACGGTATTTTTCTTCAAGCAACTTTCTTGATTCGCGCTCAATAACTTTACATGCATTATTAAATCTTTTGTTTGTATTTATTGGAATTTTTCTAACATATGGAACATACGTAGATAAAATACTCATGCAAATAGAAAGAGGAGTTAATTCATCGCCAAATAAATACATATAAGCATCTGCTAATTCACTTGGAGACTTTAATGAATTAAATTCGTGATTAAATCCTGAAAAAAAAAAAAAATTTTAAGGTGGGAAATTTATAAGCTTCATAAATACAAACATTTATTTCTTACCAACTAAGCCAATGACATCTAAAGTAGCTTGGGAAATTATAGGAGAAAGGTTAATTGTTGATGCTCCCTTATTTACTTTATCATTTATCAAACTTTTTAATGTCAAAGCTACTCGAACAAATGCTGGAACCATATTCTAATTGTGCAAATGTGCAAAAATAAAAAAAAAGAATATTTAATTATATTATTAAATTACATCAAATTTCCATAGACTTACGTACTTTAATGGTATTATGAGTGAAGGCACGGTTCAACATTTTTCTCTGTTTCTTGTGCATTTCTCCTTCAACAGTGGAAACACCACCTAGACCAAGAATGGGCTCAACATCTCCCCTTAGAGCTCTTGATTTAACAAAATCGTATCCATGATTTAAAACAATATCTTTTATTAACTTTGAATCTGTAACCACAATATTCGGTTCATTTAAGATCCCGTGATATTTTATAAAGTTCCCGTATTGTTTTACCCATCTAGTGTGTGATTCACCGAACTAATAAAATAAAATTAAAATAAAAAAAATTTAATGTCTCGTGATGGTGACGTAATTGTTATAATTAAAAATGACCAACCTCTTCTGATAAAATCCTATTAAGACTTCCGTAAAGAAAACTTTCAGAAGGCGGACCAGGGATTTTTCTCAAAGGAGAAATATAATATGGATAAATATAGACTTTATAAGTAAACCAACTTATAACTACTATGGCTAAATGACTAACTAAAGAATTTAATTCGAACATTTTTCTTTTTTGTGTAAAAAATTCGATTTAGACTTTGAAAAAAAATAATCAACTATATTTAAAGATTTTAACTTTTCTTTTATTTCAGTTTAAGATAAACTGTAAACTTAATAAAGGCAAGTTTAATAAGAAGTAATGCCGCATGAAACCGGATTTATTAACCAAATTGTATTTCATTTTATTGATTTTTACATAACAAGAAAATTTATTATATATATTATTTCCTATTAATGTTTCGATCGACGCTCTGCAATAGCCTTATTACAAATATTAATCTTAGTAAAGATTTCTACCGCTTTAAAAATACTTATCAGCTTAATACAACCTTCAAACATCAACAAAATATATAATACGACGATTTATGAACACAAAATAAGCAAACAAAAATCATCACGAAATAAGGAAATAAATAAATGATGGTACATGAAATTGAGATTCCAATTTCAGTTAAGATACTCGAGGATCGACTGAATTCCAACTTCAGACGAAAATCACTACATATATTTTGTGTCATGAAAAAAGAACGCCCGGAAAACACAAATGTTTTGTAATCATACCAAAATCTACTTCAAACGCAAATTAATGTACAACTTCAGTACATTAGATTTCCTAAATTTTTTTTGTAAAATTAAAATTCTTCGACACCAACTCATCTTTATTAAAAAATCTAAATGAAAAGAATCTACTTTTAACTTCTGAAGTGATCGTAATCTTCAAGAGGTAAGGAACTTAAAAAACCAAAACAAATTAAATATTAAAAATCTACAAATCTAGAAAAGAAATCATTCGACTGTAGTAATCGAACCCGAAAATTAGAAAGCTATAAAGAGAATCAAAAAAAATTCTCAGTAAATAACAAGTAATTTATTTGTTATCCGCGTTAAAAACGAAGACGATTAATCTGTTGTGAATTGATTTTTCAGATTCCCTTTTTTGTTCCAACTTCCGAATAAAGTAGTAGCCAAATTTAGTACCTATGACGTATGATCGGCATGATTAGCAATTGACAAATATAGTATGATTGTTTGTCATAATCATGGTTTAGAAATATATTATTAGTATAATACTGCAGACACGTACAGTAAATTTGAAATTCTTTAAATCTTTATAATTTCTTAAAAAATATTCTAAAGAAAAAATAATAAAAGTAATAAAAAAATGAGCGAACTTTCATGATATTGACGAAATAGATGCTGCTCTTTTTGAGCCTAGTTTTCATCTTTATGGAACATATTCTATTAGAATCCTAAATGAATGAATTTAAGGAAAAAGTAATTGTATGCATATGATCTAGGAAATAAGCTGCATATTTAAAATTTTATTTTCTTTTAAGCAGATAATAAATAAACATATACGTCTGATTATCGATTATGTTCGCAATTTAGTTTATTTAAGCATCACATGATCATATATTCACGTCCTTTTTAAGAATTCGCAAAGTTGTTATCGAAACCGTCGAAACCCATCGAAACTGCCGAAATAATTTTTGAAAAGTTTCGACTTTTGCCAAAATGGGTTTAGGGTTTTGCCCCGCAACTATAGTAGAATGTTAATTTAAAAGCATGCCATGCTTGTATAAAATTTATTTTGAAAACTGATTTACTACAACCAGTTATTCTATGAGCGAACCCGAAACTATTAATTAAATGGTAGGAATATACAATATCTTAAAAAATACTTTAACAAAATTTCATCGATATCAGTGTATGTAAATTTTCTTTCAAATTTTTTATTTTTTTAAAAGCCGTTAAAAGTTGGACAGTTACTTATATTTCTTTGAAAAGTTGAATCAAGTTTGCGAACATTCCCATTCTTATTTAAATTACAAATTTCATTATAACTTCGTATAATAATACAATTTTGTTAAATGTGCAACAATACAATAGGCACATAAAAAAGAAATTTTGAAGCGAATATTATTTTTGTGAAACCAATTTCATCGAATTATAAACTTATCTATTGGTCGATATAAAAGTTTACATAAAACTATCTTTATAAGAAAATTCAGAATTTTCAAAAAATAATAGAAATATTTTATATTCTTCTCATATCGCTCTTGAATCAAATAGAAATAACAAAATTTTGATCTTGTTCGAAAAAAAAAAATTTGAATTTTATATCTGTTAAACAATTTGAATTACATTGACCTTATCCATAATAGTCACAAGGATAGATAAAAAAAAAACATGTTCGAATTTATCTTTTTTACCTTTCTCGAATTCATACTTCCTACAATCAAATATCAAGAGTATTCTCTCGTATAAGTAGTAAAATCTTTCGTTGTTTATTTCTCAATTACGTATTTATAATAAACTATGAAGTTGAAATAAAAACTCTACAAAATCAATACGCCCAACGCAAATTTATTGAACTTTGTTCATCGAATATTTTTTCATCGCAGAAAACCTCTATAAAATCGCTTCCAACATTTAATTCAATTATTCATAATTTAATTCGTGTAACCCATCTGTGCTTAAAATGTTGGTCGTAACAGTTAATAACGAAAACGCGACATTTTAAGATTTTCTCGGGTAAGATTCTTGTAATAAAGTATAAGCATGTTAACATTAAAAAACTAATGCCGTTGAAACCAAATGATAAATCTATTTGAGTTAGAACTCTTGTCACTTATTTATCCACCATTCCAAAAGGAATGACGTTATCATTGAAAGTTTGCCAAAAGGTTAAAAAATTTGTAAATTAAAACGTCATTATGGTTTAAAATTTTATAATTTCCAATATACGTATTTTGACGTTATTGTGATTAAACTGATATTGTTTCATCAATCAAATATTACGAATGTAAGAGTCTGTCTCTTATGTTTAAAAAAAAAATTTGTTAATCAAAGATGATAGGTAAATAGTTACAATTAATTATTAATAAAATCCTAGGTAGTATTTTGCCTCTCTGCAATTTTACTTAGAGAATTAAGTAACGGATATTTTTCTTTCATTTATGCTTTTAATAAAAAAAAAAAAAAAATAATTAATTATCGTTTACATTTTTAGGGAAAAAAAATTCGGGCATGAAAAATTCCGGACAGCAGTTTGATCATTTTTCGGAAATTTATTAAAAATTATTTTTTATTCATAGAGATTTTTTTAGTAATTGGGAGGAGGTTAACGATTTCGTTAATAGCAAATCTGATCATTAATTTTTAATAAACTTGTGATTAGCAATAGAGTTGTAGATCATTTTAAAATCTAGCATATGAAATATATGATTTAATCAGAAAAATTTATTCGCTACATTTCGAAGTTTTCGCCCGGGCGGGTATAAAATGTTTGAAAATCAAATATTCGAAATCAGTTCAATTATATTTGTCCTCTTTTTGCCTCCGAAAGAACCCGCACCTTAGATCGAATGATTCGTTATTTGTCCTCTTTTTGCCTCCGAAACAACCCGCACCTTAGATCGAATGATTCGTTCCTAAAAAAGAAAATAAAAAAAAGCTTCCGAAAAATAACCTTCCCGAAACTTACTCAAAAGACACACGAATCAATTGAATCTTTAAATTTTATTTTTAATAGACAATCAGCCCGACTTCAAATCAGTTTCCAATTTTAGCATAAACGATCGGCAATTGGTTTTATGTTTTTGGTCAATTGGCTAAATACTGTATATATAAAAGGAAAAACATTAGAACATAAGGAATGCACAAAAATGAAAGGAAGGAAAAAACAATGTTAAAAATAAATATTTTTTTGTATTACATTCATTTGAATCTTCTTTAAAAAAGTTTCACATGAAACTTATAGACTTTTTGTGATACGTTTCGATTCGACGATATCGTTTTCTAAACAATGTTATCTTTTTTTAGGTTCTAGATAACAGTTCGTATTGATTTTAAACTTTAAATTTTAGGTCATCAACACAATGATTAAGATCTGATAAAAAAAAATCTATGATAATCAAAAAAAAACTTAAATTCCTTATTAACGGCTAAAGTTTTTGTAACAAGCAGAAATAAAATGGCGTGACTAAATTAGTATATTTGATTTTAAAAAAGGAATAATAAAATCTTTTTTATTTTGATGAACATGATTTTGTAACGTTTTGACTACTATGAACTGACTATTTTGGCATGCGAAGAAGCGATGAGGGTAAAGCCAAATTAGGTAATCTACAAAGTATAAAATGATTCAAAAAAATATCGAGGTATTTTCGAAAATAAGAATATATCTTCTTAATTTTCAATTATACTCAAGATGTCTTATGACACAATTAAATATAAGCGCATTTATTTAATTATCGTTGTTCTCATTGCGGTATTTATTGCCGTTAGTTATGCCTATCCAACTACTGAACTGAACAATTCAATCAGCATTCTTCAAAAAAGACAAGATCCCGGTGGTAAAGAACCACCAAAAGAGCCTGAACCAAAAGAACCCGAACCAAAAGAGCCAGAACCAAAAGAACCCGAACCAAAAGAGCCGGAACCAAAAGAACCCGAACCAAAAGAGCCTGAACCAAAAGAGCCAGAACCAAAAGAACCCGAACCAAAAGAGCCGGAACCAAAAGAGCCAGAACCAAAAGAACCCGAACCAAAAGAGCCAGAACCAAAAGAACCCGAACCAAAAGAGCCGGAACCAAAAGAACCCGAACCAAAAGAGCCTGAACCAAAAGAGCCAGAACCAAAAGAACCCGAACCAAAAGAGCCGGAACCAAAAGAGCCAGAACCAAAAGAACCCGAACCAAAAGAGCCAGAACCAAAAGAACCCGAACCAAAAGAGCCGGAACCAAAAGAACCCGA